GTGGCATCGTTTGTTTTGTATTCGGTCTCAAGGAATAGGGTTTGTTAACAGTGGAAGAAGAGTTTGCGAGTGTTAAAGGTTTGGACTTCGTGGATTCTATGAGAATCAGTATGAAAAATATTGCATTAATTATATTTTCAATGAAAAATCTCAAACTATGATTAGAAACTTTTCAACTTTCGTTTTTTAAATTCACGCAACAACTGACAAAATAGTTGCTAAAAACATCACATTTAATCAACGACAAATCTATCATCGATAAAATGTCTTCTCTTCATTTTTGATAATTTCACACGAGCGACGCATGAAAAAGTTGTGATGGATTGTTTATACTATGATTTATACATGCAATTAATTAATTAATCTGCCATATTTGTCGGTTAACTTTACTAGAGAAGTGGAAGTAATTTTAACGGATGGCTATTCTTACTTCAAAACTTTTAGAGTTCTGTCAACTCATAATTAGATGCTCGTTGATTACATAAAATTCATAGATCCATTCTACCAAAACTGCATTTTCTTTCGCATAATCTCATATTATTTGTTTTCTAACTATATTTTTCTAAAATATATATTAATTTAAGGGTTCAGAAAATCTTATCGCGTTGATTAACTCGTCAGTTATTAGTTTTGTTAGGCTAAATGTAAGTGTAATAGCTATTTTTTGGCTACTGTTAATTTGTTGCAAAATTGAATAATTTTTGGATTATTTATAGATGCAGTGTCGTTTTCTCTTAATAATAATGAAAATTTTATATGTTAGAAGTAACTTGCTAGAATTATGATTATCAGAACATAATATTACTAGTCAGAAAACAAAATTTATTCAGACTCAATTTTTTGTTCTTAATGATTTTTCAGCTAACTGTGTTCTATTTGTTTTAATAGTTTGTCTAAAAAATGTTTTTCTTTGCGAATCAAATAATCTCAAAATTTACCGTGAATTCTTGGATATAACGATTGATATCCATCAACTCTTGAAGGTCTCATTGAAGACACATTTTGATTATAATCTGCTGTAGTTAAAACTTCTTGCCGTTGTATTTGGGCAGTTGAAGCAGAGAAAGCAGCAAATCGCGGTTCCCCACAACATGAACATCGTTTCGCTGATGTTAAGTTAGTTGCCGAACATTCATCGCATTTCCATGTATCTTCTTTTTTTTCAGTTCTATGCTCATTTCTTGCCGGTGAAGCAGCAGGTGTACCACTTCGTGCCTAAAAATAGATGTAAAATTTACACAGTATTATTTNGGAATCATGTGTTCAAAATCGAATAGTTAGATGTTATGTAACAAGCAAAACTTTTCAGATCTACCCTTCACTGTCAATCATTTTTTGTAAATGTCGCGTTTTCACGAAATGATCGATGCTGTTAAACGGCAAATGAATAATATAGATATATTAGAGGTTCAAATGATGATGATTTCAGTGCGAATTTTAAGAAAACAAATTTTTCGAACACGTAAAGCCAAGAAGAAAATTGGATTCACAATATTCTTCATACTATAGGTGGTATACTAAAGATACGTAGGATATCGATGTGCTTCAACTCTAATCAATTAAAAGTAGTTTGAAATGTGTTTTGTCATCTA